ACACACACACACACACACACACACACACACACACACACACACACACATATATATATATATATATATATATATATGAAACTGCCGAATATTTATACAAATGTACAAATCAATTCAAATTTCAAATTGTCAAATAAGAGCAGACCAATGACAACGCATACACGCAAACTATTAATTACCCTTTGAATATATTCTTGTACACTATTGTCAGGTCGATATTGGCACCCATACTCTTTCTGACACAGAGCACTACTATAAGTGCGTACATATGCACATTATTCATGTATTAGTCATAAAAATTGCGCACCCTATTTGTATGTAACACAAAACAACACACCAATTCGTGTAGCTATCATCTGTGCACTCGGTGTCATTGCTAGGGTGTGCTGTGCTATCGCATCGGACACTACTACAGAATCGCTGAACACAGCAATTGGCGCAGTCATCTGTTTGACACATTATGTCACGATTGAAGATCAGTCCGGGGCCACACACTGCATCTGTTGTACACAGCTGTATGGGTGGATATATTCGTTTACAAATGCAGATAAGTACAGGTATGAATACGACCGTACGTTTATGCTTATCCTCACAGCTGTAAGAATGGATATATTCTTATACAAGTATGTGTTAGTGTTGTAGATATATGTGAAGGTATGAATACGACTGTTCGGCGTTCGCATTCTTTTCTGTAATCGATATCCAGATAGACATAATTGCAGCCACTAAAAAATAAGTCGGGGAATATGCGAATGTGTGTTAATGTGACATGGTGGACACCGTTTCCAAACCCTCTGTGCAGCATTACGAGCCAGAGTTAAAATCAACTAAGTGACAACAACGCCGTCAAATGAACATATCTCACATGTCACTTTAAAAAATTATCACATGCCACATAACAAGTGTATGTCATATGTCATATGTATACACAAGTATATAACATAAGCGACATGTACACAAGTACACGCATGGTCTCAAGAACAAACCAGTATTTTACAGCAGTTCGTTCCGAAGGGGCTACTGAAGAACTGGTCCCCAGTTTCGACGGAGCCTTCGCAGCAATCAATACTGGAACACGTTTGTTCGCCACAGCAGTTGGCGCAGTTGTCACTGGTACACACCGTATCTCCGGTGGCAACCTCGTAGTCCTCACACACCCCGTTGACGTCACAAGTCTTCTGACTGCAACAGCCCGAGCACGTGTCATCCGTACATAGCGTTGCGTCGGTGCGCTCAAAGCCTGGCGCACATGCGTGATCTATACAGTTGTCCGGTTTACAGCAGTTGCTACAGGTGTCCGTGGTACAGTCCTCTGTCTGGGTGTCCAGGAACCCAACGGGACAGGGCTTGACCTCGTCGCACTTGCGCTGAGCACAACAGTTCGAGCAAAAGTTGTCATCGCAGAACTCGTCCAACGTGTCGTTCTGTCCCGCCGCACACACCTTACTACCGCACGGCAGCTGATCACAACAGTTTGAACAGTCGTTGCTGGTACAGTTCACTTCGCCGCTGCTAGTGAATCCCGCGGCGCACTGTGGCAGTTCCTCCGCACAGGTGCGCTGGCCACAGCAGTTGGTGCAGAGATCATTCGTACAGTCAGTGTCATATAT